CTGAATCTTAATTTGCTGAAGCTATCTCCATCGAAGCTACCTCTATCGGAAGATAGACAATTTTAAGATATGCATTACGTCAGAATCAAATAGTTGCTTTCACCACTCCTTGCACAGTTATGACGCTGGTGGTTAGGCCGTACAGTACTCACGTTTTTTCAGACATATCTACTTTTCCGAATTTTAGGTAATCTACGTCCTGCTGATGACAATGAAACAATCAACGAATGCGTCAGCGACTGGAACGGACCTGTAGCAAAAAGAAAATCCTGAAACTCCTTACCCGTTGAGGCATAGATTGAGAGCAATTCTGAGCAAATAAACATAGATCATTCGACAACATAGATTCTCCATAATTTAGCGACTAATATCCATTATATTATCGACAATCACAAAACTTCCACTAACACGCTAGACTCAATATGCAGGATACTTGAAGTAATAAACTGTATCACTATGACCCATATCATTAGCTTGACAACCTTAAAGCTCTATTGTAAAAGCACAAAGTTAGGTGATGTTCAATGATTTTTTTCTCAACTCAGTCGCTGCGTTTCACATCGCCAACAAAAAAACATAATATATTTGCTTGTTCAAAAAACGTTATGTGTTTCCAGAATTTGAGGAACATGTATTATGGAGTTTTACACTTCCTTAATCAAGTCTGACAGAGGTAAAGGTTGATTATGTTTGTGAAACTATGCGTATCAAATGCTCTCTTGGCTAGATTTAGGCGAATACAAGGGTTTAATAGCCAAAGAATTGTTGAAAATGGTGTTGATATTGTGACAGAAGACAAAAAACGAGCAGTCGTCATTCTATACACAATAATAAGCTGAGATTATACCAGTGAGAAAGCGCCCTCCTAGAGACAATGCATGGAGAGCGGTTGCCCCTACTATTCTCGTCTAACAGCTTAAAAAACTTGAGTTAAAATTTAGCAGATAGATGAATGAGCGTTTGTTTCTGCAATTTGAATAAATATGGCAATCGCTTAATAATGTTGGCGGTAGCACGCCTTACTGGTTTTTTGAGTAAAAACTGGCGCACACTTACATTGTCATCAGAACTGAATTTTGCTCCATTAGAGTTGGATACCAGGGAGCAGAGACCGTTATATGAACAGTATATAAAGCAGG